CCCAGGAGGCTTAAGATCCCCCTTGAGTTGGTAAGAATGGTTTTCTTTCCTCAGAGGGTTCGTATCCGGGGAGAAAAGGTGGATCCCTCTGGCGGTTGTCGAGACAAGTTTATCCTTCTCGGTCGGTAAGGCGGTCGCGAGGTTTCCCCCCCGGGTCGGTTCCACCGTTCTCGATGTCGCCCTAGCGTTTTTTTTCGGGCGCGTTCTCGACGCCGCCCTAGCGTTTTTTCGGGCGCGTTCTCGACGCCGCTCTAGTGTTTTTTTCGGGCGCGTTCTCGACGCCGCCCTAGTGTTTTCCGCGCGGTCTAGCGCTTTTAGCGTAGCCTTGAGCGCGTCTTCGACGCCGCTCTAGCGTTTTTTTAGCGGGGGGGTCTAGCGCGTCCTGTTTTCGCGGTTTGTCGCGTCGCCTTAGGCGTGTCTATTTTTCATAGCGTCGCCTTAGGCGTGTCTGTTTTCCATAATGTCGCGATTAGGTGCGTCTCGCACGTCGCGATTAGGCGCGTCTCGCGTCTGAGCGTTTTCCGTAGGGCCTAGCGCGTCCTATTTATGATTTGACGTGTTTTTTACGTCACTTTAAAGAGTATTTAACTAGGAGTGTCGACAATATATTGTTAGTTTGCGAGATGGAGAGTCAGTCTAATGTTTCGAAGAGTCAATTGAAGGATCCAGAGATAATATCGCTCTTAGACGATTCGCTCGAGCTCTCGAGAGAGATGGAACGCGAGATAGTGGAACGGGAGAAACACGCGATGACGATGGGGCGTGAGAAACAGCCTACGATCGAGCGAGAAGAGGAGAACGAGATATCGGCGGAGGTCGAGAGCGATGCGGTCGACTCGCTCGAGTTGATGCGCGCGATATGGACGTCTATGCATTCGACGTCGTGTAATTTGCGGCTAATGATAGCGTTTTTGTCTAAACATCTGGCGCTTCATCGAGGAACGGAGCCGATCGCGCGTATACGCGAGGCTGAGCGTATGAGGAACGCTATACGTATCGTTACTGATGTCTGGAGTCGAAAGAGTCCGTGGAACTCGTACTGTTCTCGGGACAGTATGGTTCGCTTGGTCGAGAGTTCTGCGACGCCGGACGAGCGAGTCGCTTATGGAGATCGAGATAACGAAGGAGGCTTCTTCGAATTGGATACGAGATTACTGGGAATATCTGGCGCGTTTGAAAACGACGAAAGGGGATCTCGACGACGAGTACGAGAAGTATCTTGCGCGTTTGAATACTACGAGAGGGAATGATGAGAGTTGTGGCAGTGGTTTAGACGCGTTGTTCGCGTCTTTATCTGGAGATAAGGAGGAGGCTGATCGATTCGTTCAGTATGTGACAAAGTTGAAGGGTGGACGACAGCTCGAGGCGAGATCTCCGGGCGAGAAAGGGATCGATTGCGAATTGGTTCGAATGTACGTGTACAATGTCAAGGATATAGTTAAGAAGAAGAGACGCAACTGGTGGAAATATGCGAAATTGAGAGTTCAGTTTTTGAACTCCGTGTCGGATCGGAAGAAGCAGTTGATAGATCGAGACGCCGATGATCTGAGGAAAGTATCCGGAGTGCGCGGGGAAGCGAGAAGCGTCGAGTGCGACAGTGAGTAGGGATGTATCGCTATGACGCTCGCGCGAATTATCGTCAGGGGTATCGATTGTGGCGAAGAGCGCGAGTATATGTAAAAGAGAATGTACTAATATTTCTATGTAAAAGAATATATTAATATGTATACTAATATGAATATATGTATAAGAATATACACGAATATATGTATAAGAATATGTACACGAATATATGTATAAGAATATGTACACGAATATATGTGTAAAAGTGTGCGCAAATATGATACCGAGTGACAAAAATAACGAGTATATGTACGAGATATACTGAAATAAAGAAAGAGTAATGCGAATCGTCATTAATATGTATCGTTATTGCGATGATTAACCGACTGTGAGAGAAATAGAGTTTTTTCTCGTGTCGAGAATGTATAAGAGAGACGAGAGTGGGAGTCGCGCGAGAAGAAAATTATCGTAGGAGTATTAATAAGAAGATAATATTTCATTAGGAATGTGAATATTATGCGATGCGTCATTTTCGCGCTCGCTACGCGTGACTACGGGAAGTCTGACCGCAACGGCGATAGAAGATTAGTCTATTGTTTATTTTGTCGTTCTTTATTTTATTCTTTTTTCTATTGCTATTTTATCGTTGTCATGCTTTTACTTTTGTTCTCTATTTTGTATTGTTAATGATATTGCGTATGGGATCTTTAGCGAGATCGTCATTCGTTGGTGTGTAATCGCGCTACGTATATTTCGATTCGTTCGATGAGAATAATCTCGCGCGATAAAGAATAGAAATTAAAGCGATTTTAATTTCTGATTCGCGATTCGGATCGATTCATCGCGTCGGTCTTCGCCCTCTCGCGACCGATGGCAACATCGATCGAACGGTTCGCGCGTATTTCGGTCGGCGACGCGCAGTGTCGATTTGACTTCTGTCTCGCGCGATGACGCCCGCTCGTAGAATTGCCGTGATCGCGTGCGCGATAGCCGTTATTATGGCGATTCGCGATTCCGTCGCCGACAGCGACGAGGAGGCGATTCGGTTTTTGCAAACCTACGGATATCTGGACGACGATAACGTGTAAACGATATCAGATAACGCGACGTTGGCTCTGAGACACGCGATTGCGCTTTTTCAGGAGTACCGTATACCTGGTGATGGTGTTCTTAACGAAGCTACATTGGAACAGATACATAAACCGCGATGCGATGTCAAAGATATATCGAATGACTTGGACAATTCTCCGAGGAAATGGACGCATCTCACTTGGAACTTTCATCTGGCGAGCGAGAGCGTTCTACGAGTCACCGAAGTCGCGTTCGAGATATGGGCTGCGAATTCGTCGCTGACGTTCGAGCGCGATTCGATGATATCGTGATATCATTTCGGAAAGGTTTTCACACGTTCGTAGATCCTCGGCATCAAGGTAACCGAATATGTCCGTCGTTGCTGGACGGACCAGGAAACGTGCTAGCTCACGCTTTTTTACCATTGTCCAAAGTGTCAGAGGTGCACGTGGATAACGCGGAGAAGTGGCACATCGAGCTAACTACTAATCCTGACAATACGATTCATCTGCTGCATACGTTGACGCACGAGATCGGTCATGCATTAAGATTACATCACAGTCCTCTGAAAAATGCGATAATGTACGCTTTTGTTCCCTCTAAGACCTTTCCCGTGCGATTGAGCGAGGCGGATTTTCTCGCCATTCAGAATTTATACGGTTTAAGAAATAAGAGCGAAATTGCGGGACCAGTTACGACGACCGTAGCGACGACCACGATCGCGACGCGCGACACGGAGAATTCCGCGGATCTGTGCGCGTTGCAACGCGTCGATGCGATGTTGGTGTTAGAAAATAGAATGTATGTGGCGTATCGACACTACTTATCGGTCGACCTAAACGGAAAATCTTACGGCAAGTCGTTGTTACTGACGGACTATCTGCGTTTTCTTCCCGATAATTTTATGCGTTTGGCGGGTGCGTATCGATGACCCTCAGGCCAACTCGTATTGTTTGTTGACGATATGATTTACATGATAGAATATTCGAGTTTTGAGCTAGTACCGAGTTGGCCGAGGAAATTGAGAGATATGAATCTTCCTCCTAATGCAAAAATCAACGCTGTGATTAATACTAACGCGGGACGAACGTTCGCGATTTACAACGACGAGATCATGGCTGAGATCGACGATTGTTCGATGATAGCCGTCAAACATAATTCGTTGCACGCGATATTTCCGGGGATTCCACCCGCTGTAACGTCCGCCGTTCGATACATCGACGGTAATCTGTATTTTTTCGTTAAACGACAGTTCTTCAAATATAACGAATTTACTAGAAGTGTAACTATGGCCGGTAAATTTGATTCAGAGATTTTTGGTACCGTGTGTCCAAAGGACGGATTGTTAGAGCAATTGCGCGCTCTTTTGAAAAAACTCGCTCAGATGAGGAACGTATCTTCGAACGAGGACGATTTAGAAGAAGAGAGGGAGGAGGAAGAGGCACGGAAGTTTTCGCATAGTATATAGAGCTAAGGATACGAAACGTTTATGAACAGTATTATGCGATCTCTTCGATCGTAAAGATGTATGATATCGAGCGCTCGCAGGATTCCGAGACGCGCCGAGTCGATGAGAGCGATGACGCGAAAAGGAGAAAGAGGACGTTTGACGATGACAGATCGATCGCGTCGAGTCATAGTAACGCCGGTTATACGAACAATTCAGTTAGAATTCTAGAACGAAAATATTCCTTGACTAAGACGGGATACAAGTTTCTTAATGTATGTGTCACTCTTGAACGCTCCTCGCGCGTGAATATTATTCTGGGAGATAGTCATGGCAAGGAGGTCTCGATGTCGCCCGATACGTGGAGCTTGTCAAGCAACGAGACGTTCTTTCGAAGTATCTGCAGAGTACCAACGGAGAACCGTCCTTTCCAGCCCCGTCGCATATTGGAAATATGACTGTGCGTTTCGGAAAAATCAACAATTTGACGATATTACGCCTGGAAACATCCGCGGCTCGCTTGGCCATGTCGAAGGAAACAGTGAATAATATGTTCGAGCTCGAGCATTGCATCAGTCGACTCGTTATCTCGTTGACCAAGATATTAGGAAAAATTGATGCGAATTTGGCACGTTTCAAGGATATTGCGTTTACCGCTAAGGATACGGAAAATATCTCGAAAGTTATACGCGATAGCGATGCCTACGATCGTAACGACATTATCGATTGCGAACTCGTTGCTCTGTACTTTGGGATGTAAGAGTGAGATGAAATAAAAGTGAGATATATCATAAATAATGTTTTGTGTATTTCCTCAAGCATGTATATAAGTATAGCGAGCGATAAAAGAATTCGATTATAGTATAAGCAATGAATCTAATTATAATATATAAGCACTGAATCTAATATATGATACAATAATTAAAAACTAATTTGATATATGATATAAGTCATTAACGCGATATTACAATTCGGTGATACATTCCCGTCGTTTTGACCACCAGTCGTACAATTTGCATACGTTCTCCATAGCGCAATGCTTCGCGTGACGCTCGCAGTGAAATGCTCGAACGTCGTCCAGAGTGCTTAGGCGCCCTATATCCTCGAAATCCGTGTCGATAGTCTCGACGATCACGTCGTGATTCGCGATGACGTCGCAGCCGAGAATCTCCTCTAACCACTTCTTTTTCTCCAAGCCTTTGACGTACACTCATTTAGGTGCGTCTCGCGATTGATTGCACACGCCGTTTCGAAGTCGTTTCACGTGTTTCGAGAGTCTGTACGTGATGTCGCCGTCGCTCCACTGCAGGCCGTGATGATTGGAGGTTATCCAACACGCTTTAGATTTTTCCGTTTTTGTAAGAAGATTCCAGAGTATCGCTTCTCGAAATATTCGATGGGTCAGCTCTTTTCCATTTTTTAATATTGCCACCTCTTTAATCATAAATTTCTACCGAACGGTAAAACCTTGCAGATCGACGAAGATCGATATGTTCGACATCGTCTTCTCGTAGGAAAACCGCGATTACGTGAGTTTACGTACGACATTCGTCAGTGGGTTATACTCTACAACTCTATCGTAAATGATGAGACAATAAACCGTTGTGTTAGCCGGAACGTTCTCTTTGCATTCGAATTCTACGCGAACGTCGACGGTGGCGCTCTTGATCGATTCGTTCTGATGGGAGCAATCGATGACCACTAGCGGACCGTATTGCAAAAATCTAGTGACAGACATGAACAGTTCGCAAGTCTCACACCCGTAATACGTCTTTCGAAATTTTAGATACATATTGTACAGCACTGCGAACTTGTTACGCTCGAAATCTAGATTCATATCGTCGTAAGGATAGAACTCGGAATTCAAATAGAGTTTTACATTAGTTAACTTGCAATCGTCGAATTTAGAAACGTCTTCCGACGGTACGTTTTTCCTTCCGGTCTGTAGCACAAAGATCACGTATCGCGGTTTCTCCAATTGCGTCGCCGCTTTTACCGCCCAGGAATGCTTGGTCGTACTTTGCAACAGCAGAAATTCGTATAGATCCTATGAACGAAAGCCCATGCTCAGATATCGTCCACTGTCCAACGTTCGCAGAAGCGATAGTTTGTTAACGTCATTAAGTATCACGTGTGGCATTCGCCACTGTATTCTTAACAAGATGATCTTCGGTCTCTGATCTGAATGCGCTACGACGTAATTGTTATCGTTGCGAGTGCGTATCAGAATGAGTTCGTGTCGCGCGTTTATTACTATGCGTTTGTAATCCTCGCAGAAACCAAGGAGTACGTTCAGAGGCACGCAAAAGTTGAAATCGTCCAACACTATAGGCGGTATTTCCCATCCGTTCTGTAAAGCTCTATCTCTCTCGTAGCACAATGATACATAGTTTTTCATCAAGGTTGTTATGCCGACTTTCTGCTCTTATCGATCTCCACGCCATTAAGCTCGTATCGGATCTCGTCAAACATAAACGCGACGCAGTTGTTGACTAGCTTTGCTCTCGTAACTTCTTTCGCCGTGCCTTCCTTCGCCGTACCTTCCTTCGCGCTCTCTCTCGTCGCGAATTTTCCCTTGATGTATAGAAAACTTTCACACGGCACGTATACAGATCCTGTTGCTGAATAGGTATTCGTATCACGTCGCTGTATCCGAACGTGGTGTTAGCATATGGATTGTAAGTGTAGGTTTTCTATTTTCACGATACGATTGTCAAAGATCGGGGCACCTCCGATACTTAAAATGTCGCTCGCCATGTCGATTCTTCACGACGAAATCTAAAGATCTTAAGAACGCAACGTTCGCGGCGTTCAGCTCGTTTGCTCTTCCCTCGCGTGCCTTCCTCGTCGCGTCGTTTTGCGGTAAGATCGCGGATGTAGCGTTTGCGTCTCCTCCTCCTCTCGAGTACCACTGGTTCAGAACGAGTATCTTTCGCTCTCGCGCATTTCTCTCTAATGCTTTCGTCGTCGCACGTGAAGTCGCGTCGTTATCTCCTCTCCGCGAAAATCGATCGGTCGCCCGTCTTGATCCACGATACGAAGCGTGATATCGGTAACGTTTCGCGCAATGATCGGAAAGTAAATGATCGATGTTGGAGCGTTCGATAGTTTATATCCCGGAGGAACGTTCGGCGAAAACTCGTGTATTGTGTGAACCGGCTCGTTGTTGCTATACGCACCCGCGGTGATATTGCACTCCACCCGAATGATATTCACGCACATGATATTCACGGGTCCGTCGGACGTATGCCATTTGTTCGGTCGTAGTACGCGCGACGACGAGAATCCCAGGAGCGAACCGATGTTGTTCGGTTTCGCGAAATCGATTTGATGCTCGCATCTGATCTCGCTTCTCAGTGTTCTCATTGGCTCGAATGATCAGAGACCGCGCGCCCCTCTCGCCCTCGTCGCTCTCGTCGTAAATAATGTCGTCGCTCTCGTCATCGTCGCTCATCCTCTTGCTTTCGTCGATCTTTCGCTTTTTAGAGATAACGGCGTTTAGATATCTGTCTATCACACTTAATTCGTACGAACCTTTGGGAATCATGATCGTTTTGTCGTCGTAATAGAACTTATTATTCGTGGAATCGACATTCGCTATAGTGTTGTACGTCTCGAAATTCGTGAGACCTAACTCGTAATCGTCGTCGCTTAGATCTAAAGCGGGAAAATAGCACGCCATGAGAACGCCACTCTTACCGGTAAACGAAAGACTCAGCGACATCGCGACCGATTTTTGAGAGAAATCGCAGGCACAACTGACCGCAAATGTTCTGATTGTACGTCTAATACGATCCGCGATTGTACGTTATATTTACGCCGCCGAGATATCTCTCGAGTTCCCTCGGCGGTCGAAGATTGCCGAAACCGTCGAAGTAAATCGCGTCGTTTCCCCTCTTCGCATAGGCGACCCAGTGAGTACCCGAATCCATCGAGTCGTCGAGATTCACGATGCCGCTCTCGTTACGTCGCGCCTTTAATAATAATGCGTCACGCATAAACACTCCTCTGAAGAAGGGTACTCGTAGACGACGCGCCGAGCGGTTCAACTGTTCGTTCGTCGTGTTGCCGCGGTAACTTGAGCGATTCTAACGCTTCTTTCCATGATTTTTTTTTTTCGTTCTTTTCGTCACACCGCTGCCACGTTTGTAAGGCGCTAGATGCAATCCGTGACCCTCCATTGCTCGATTGTGACGTTGCAACTCCTCCAGTTGACGCCGTGCGGTTTTACTAGCGTTCACCGCTTTTGCGACACCCGCCGCGCCACCGATTAAAGAACCGAGCGCGCCTAATATCGGAAAAATGGGTAACAAGTCTCCGCGTTTCACTGTTAGAAGTATCCTCCTCCTCGTTGTCGTCTTCCTCCTCTTCTTTCTCAAACCCATGCCTAGCTTTGTCTTTACTTTCATAGCAGCCCATATGGCGGTCGCGGCAGTTCTCTCGCCGAAGGTGGAATCTCCGGCCGTTATACGTTCGCGCGCTTTCTCGGCGAGAGCTCGGTCGGCGTCGTGGCGATCGACGAGTTTCTTATTTCGCGAATAGGCGATGTCGTGCTCGCGGCAAGCCGCGTCCAACGGATTTACGCCTCGATCGCCGCGCGCCAGTCGTTTCGCGAAATGGGTGTCGGGCCCGCAAAATTGATACCCGAGAATATGTAGTTCAAAGGGAAGTGCATTTATCGCCGTATCGAGTAGTCTCGCGCCGCTAAGCATTCGTTACAATTCTTGATAAGAGGCGCAGGACCATCTATATGCGATTGTTGCCACGGACGATTATAATGCTCCAGACACACGCGACAACGTTGTACCTCGGGGTTCGCTCTCATAGTGATCGGGTAGTCTGTTCCACAGTAGCTCCACGTATCTGTCGAAATCGCGCACGAGAACGAACTTCGGGATAAGTTACAACTGTTGAGTTTAAGTTACAGCTGTTATATGGGTGCGCTTCTAAGCGGCGACAGACAGAGCGAGATCGATCACGTTTACGGGGTGTACTTCGATTTAGACGGCTCGATGCTTGGC